TAAATTTCTTCCATTATGTTGTGGGAAAACGCCTCGCATTTCAAAATCAAAGACTCCACATTTTGTGCAGTTAATCAACTATTCTACTTGCCTAAGTCTTGTTCTTCTGACACTCTCAATACACCAGCATCTTGCAACTTTTTTCGAATGGTTCTGTGGTCCCCTTTTTTCCTTGCCTGTGCCTCGGGTGCATCTCTAGACGTAATGTTGTACTCCTCCTCCCCTCTCTGATCTGCAACTGTCATTGTAAACAGCCAGAAAGCCAAAACACCTATCATCGCCGATGCCTGCATCTTCTATAAACAATTACATGTATTTCAATTATTTTAAATTGAAAACTTACTTTCGTCTTTCAAATAATATAATGATTTCAAATAAGATTATGTGAAGTTGAACAAAAATTTTCAAATGTTTTTATAATTTGTTTTTCTTAATGCGTCGGGTCATCTTAATTGCCACTTAAAATTAATTTGTGTAGTCAAATGTTCACAAGCACAACGAAGCTCTGCTTTTGCTCAAAATCAAATAAGAAATAAGGCCATATCATTGATATTGGCGAAATTTAATATGACACGAAGATAAATATCTAGTGAGATTGGAATGATAACAACATTACATTAAATCACCACCATACATCCCATACAATGGAGCAAAGAGTTGGCAAAGAGCAAAACAATGACTGGCAAAGAGTAACTTTGGCCAATAAAATGTAATATGATACGAAATGACAAGATGGGGGGGGGGGGTAGTAACAACATAAAATTAAATAATCGCACATAGATCTAGATAGGCAGATGACCCCTTAGCTCCATGCTGATGAAATGGACAATGTAAAGTCCGGTTGAATTTCATAACTAACACGAAACTAAATCAATCGGATCCAGAGATTTGGAAGGGGTGGACACAGGGTAGAAGAATATACATTTTACTACTCTGTGCTTGGTATCAAACAGTTAACAAGGACAATTGTACTATAATAAATGGGGCACTGGGATGGTCAACTGCTTGGTTTTGACTCGATTTTCTCGTTATACTGCTTTTTTGGAGACAAAAAGGAGAAAGGAATATCAGAAGTGCATTACTTTGGAAAGAAAAGTGTCTTAGAAAATATTACAAGGGTTATATTAAATGCATTCTATTGTGCAAAAACAACCAATAAAAATACTCGTAAAATATTTGACAGCTTATCTCGTCGGTACTAAGAGTTTTCTCGTATGATTCCCATTTGTATTTCAAGTTTTGATGAGGGTTTATACTGGTAGGGATCGAAAAAAATATTGTAGTACTGACAAACGTGTTTTTCACTACACGGGCCATTAATTGTATATGTACTTAGCAAAGCTCCATTGGTAATTTTTAATTGAAGATATTTAAGTGCTGATTAACTTTTCTGTTTTAAGTGGGCTATCGTCAACTACTGCCCGGTTCATTCATCCGGTGCAGTGCTTACCACCAGAACAGGGGTAGTGAGATTATTTTCCACGACTGGATCTAAATCCTAGTGCATTCTCGAAGAATTTAATCAAATCGGCGGATTTTAATCTTTAAATAAACGCGTCTAGCGTACTCGTATAACTCCAACTTTTTCTATCCTTCTCAACGTTAGAAGGAGGCGTGTTAGTCTTTTAATCCGGTTGCATTCAACAACAGTCTAAACAAGAGTTTGTTTGAATTAACTTCGTTGTTAACGCACCCATAGACTGCCTTGCATCAAGGACATTACAGCATAACTTTGATATGCCGTTTTATCAGTAAAGCTTCATTTTAGCCCATTTCCCCCTGTGGTAATATTCCAACTATGTCTAATTGTATCTACATGTATGATATTTTTACGACAGATGTTGTTGAATTCCTCATTTTTTTAACTAAGGTTTTTTTTTTATTTTGTATGAACATATATGTATGTTCCTAACACTAAAGCAACGAAAAAAAAAGGTTAAAGGCAAAATCAAAATGAAACTGTGTCCAAGAATTTATATTTTGCATGACATATAAATGATATTCCCACATGAGAGTTGTTTTTGATAAAGGAATGAAGTATTAGACGCTGAATCTCATATGCTATACCCTTCAACCTTTGCCATTGTTGTTACTGATGCAATGTTGGATTGTGAAAAAATTCTGAAAACAACTGAATGAAAATATATAATCATTACTCCATAACAAAAACATTTCAACCATAATAACGACACTGAACCCCAATGGTTTGTGGTCAACTATACCAATTTTTGTAATAAAACCTTGTTCAGGAATATTATGCCTATAATACGTATTGCTATCACACCAAGAAATAGAAAGATGTTAAATAAACGATAAACGCTTTGGATTGCGTATGATTATGAGAAATGCAAACGCCGATATTCTATATTTTCTAGGGGATTCTTACTCTTTTAAATCAGCACAATGAAAGAAGCGTTATTGAATAATTAGATCCAGGAAAAACCTCTTGTTTGGTATATAGATGCATATAAAGTTTTACAATACTGTTAAGATGGTACTACAGGTATAATGGACTGTTCACACTGAATGTTGATGACACACTTTATTTTTATATTTATCTTTTTTATTTTATTTTATTTTATTTTATTTTATTTTATTTTATTTTATTTCTTGTCAACAAAAGCCTATTTGTTTATAGCAACATAATATTGGTCAAAGGCAAAATAATAGTGTATCCAAGATATCACATTGCAGGGAATTAATGGAGTGCCCGCATTAATATAGCTTTTATCAAATAGATTTAATATTGGACAGACGCCGGCTTTTGTGAGGGTAGAACGTATCGAATTTGCCATACCAGGTCAACTGCATTGTTGTTTCTGCTAGAATATTATAATTGTTAAAATTCCCAAGGACAAGTAGATTTAGCAAGGGGCAACATAAAGATGGTTCGATAGGTTGTAATAGCCTAAATTAGTCAAAAGAGCTACGTCTTAACTCTGGGGCTAAGTCAGGAAAAGTCAGGATAAAAGGTAATACAACCGAACACGATCTATTGTATTTGACTGGCTGATGACTGATGACCCCTTACAGGAGAAAAATGAACCCAAAACAACACGTTGCGAACACTTGTTGGCTTGGTAAGTAGCACGGGTGTCCAGCATTGCAACTCCCTACACATACTATAAATACAGAACCTGTCATATTGCAAAATTCACCATTAACATGTGTGCAAATTTTAAAGATAGCTCTGTAGCATTCGTTAAGAGTAATGCCACTTACCAAATGATGCTCCTTTTTCTTTGAACAGTGTCGTTTGCTTTGAACAACGTTTCCTTTCAACAACGTTCTGGTATATTTTCAACTAACGTTAAAATATAATATATGTTCACATCACATTTGCCTTCCATATCAGACCCGTAGCTTGACAGTCTATGGAGCATATTTGGGGCAGGCCATCAGTTCCAAATGGGTCTAATTGATTATAGAGTGCATGGTGATTGTCAGTGCATATAGCCAGTGTTCACGAATATGAATACATTTCCTGGGAATACATTTCATTCCTAAATCAGACCCTTAGCTTAGCCGCATTTTGGGACATATTTGGGGCAGGCCATTAATTCAGAATGTAACTAAAACTACAGGTACGAAAAACTTAAAATCCTTACTGAATAGACAAATAAGGAGCAACAGTATTGAAAAACATTATCACCAAAAAAGTGCACGGGGTCTATATAGTCAAAGAAAGGTCTGAGGACAGGCATAGGTTGTGCACTGGAATTTTCAAGACACGTCTGACACTCCTGTAAACTATAAATTCTAAGAAACAAAACTGGAATAATTGACTAAAATATATATATATATATAAACCATGTGTTCCTCCCACTGAGTTGAATGAAATGAAATATCCATACTAATAGGGGTATCCTTAAACCTAAAAGTTATCATTTATGCAAGTGTACGTTGCATCAGATGTGCTGGATTCTCCGGCTCCTCAAGCACAATAAAATAAAAGCATAAAAAAACTTACAACCAATGTGACAGTAATCCTGCCCTTACACTGGATATAAAGAAGCGTCTGCTAGAGAATTTACCTGACAGTGACCCAACATCAGTGGAGATGGGAGTTACTTGCTGATCAATCATTTGACTTCTTCTCTGTGATGAAAGTCACAGAATAACTATCAACAAGAGTTTATTCTCACGGACCAAAATTTCTTTATAAATGTATATAGGTTATTTTATTTGACGTTTTCAAATTTCTTGATGATTTCCACTTTCCAATATTAATATACAATAGAAAATTGTCAATTGTTTATTGCTTATATATAGAATATGCATAATTGTATTATAAGGCATCTTTCCGACTGAATTACTATGTCCAGTTATTGTGTTGTTAGATGTATTCCAAACAATATCTTGTCATCACTTTACCACCCTTCCTCTCACAAAGATTAAGTTCATGAGACATTTTATATGCAAGAAGAAACACTACATTCATTAAACAATTTTTAGTGTGTTATTTTTAAAAGAGAATAAGGTGTTTAACCGTACCGGTATTTTATTTAATATGAGCACTGAGCGCTTTCCTTAGGAGAGAATACGAGATGTTCTAAAACACGTTCCAAGTCTTTCAAGATGATGCGCACGAATAGTTCTAGGTGTTTTTCACAAAAATCTTCAGTGATATGACCTTAGTGGCTCCTCATTCCCTGTCGTGTGTTTATGAAGATATTGTGTTATTCTGGAAAATTTTGACTCATTCCGTAATGGATTTATCGCAGTGTGGATGATGAACATACCCATAGCAGTCGAGATTTTCAATGCCCCACCCCCTCCTTCAAATAAATTTTTTTAAACGGGATTCGATGAACGAATGATTTTGGTTTTTAAAAGCCTTTAAACAGGTATGAACGAAAATAATAAGAAAAGAAAAAAAAGAAGAAACAATTGTTCTGCAGAGATAAATTTATTCAGAGAAATCTGATATGTAAGCATAAAAAGCCAATTGGAGTAGATCTAGTACATTATTAGGTTATTTCAACTGAAGTGGAAAGGACTCAAATGTCCAAGCATGGTGTAGACAAAGTCAAATGGTCTTCACTGACATCCGTAAGTTTTCCACGGAATGCGTACTGTATGATGTACTCATTTGTGTAGTTGACGACCTGGGCAGAGGGTGAGCTGATAGTCCCGTTGTCTCTGAGGACCTGCAACAAGGCAGCTACAACGAGATGCACGAACGGAGCTGCCATGGAGGTGCCACTCTCAGTAGTGTATGTATTGTTTTCAAGGAAGTCAGCACCTTCGATATCTTCACCCGGGGCGTAAAGATCTACGCAAGGACCATCGTTGGCGAAACTAGCCTTTTCAAAGAAGTATTTCAAGGCTCCGACAGTGAGGGCATTGGCCGTGCTACCTGGAGAATAATTGCAAGCGTCTCCATAGTCATTACCCGCTCCAACAATTGCGGGGATTCCAGTTGCGAGTAGATCATTGACTGCGTCGTGCAGAGACATGGAGAACGGCCCACTAAGACTGAAGTTAAAAACGGAGAGTCGCCCAGTGCTTTGCACTCTTTGTTTTACCCACAGACAACCATTCAAAATATTGGAAAGATGGCAACCATCCAATGTATTTGACACAGAACAATACCCCCAATATGAACAAACCTTCAGGGAAATTATGTTAGCACGCTTTGCCACACCAGAATTGGTTCCCCCGATGATACTGGCCACGTGGGTACCATGACCATCGTCGTCAACACTTGTAGATGTCGGCAAGCCTGGACAAATGACGAATTGATAAAATACATCAACCATTTTCATGTGTTAAACCTAAAACTGATCAATGTTGAACTTCTTTGATTTGATTTTACTACCAAGGATCATGAAGGCGTCTCATTTCGGATCAAGTGAATATTCCGTAAACTGAACAATGGTACAAAATTGGCCCAAATATAACTATCCTGTACTATAAAAAGTAGACATTTGAGATGTATAATGGCAGTTGTATTGTAACTACATTTTATGAGCAGCTATCATATTACAGAAGAGATAACATCCCCATTTCCATGCAACATGAAGAAAATCCAGATTTCCCAATCTTCACAATGGGGAGATGGATTCACTCTCTGAGGACAACACGGGAATACTCTTTTCTTTTTAAACAATAGTAATGAAAAATGTTTGCATTAGCTGTCGTTGCACTTAAGACCGACGTGCTCCCTTTTTGGACCCCTTTTGCAAATCAGGTGTTGTTTTCGCAGCAACGCTGCACCTCACCAATAGTAACTCTCCCTGTGAAATCTTCGTGGTTTGGATTTATGCCTGTGTCTGCCACATATACATCTATTCCCTTTCCATCGCCCCAGATGTTATACTTGTAATTGTAAGCATCGCCATCAAGAGCATCCAACCCCTGCAAGTAAAGGTTATACAAAATATGAAACTAGCTTTGCCATATTGCCATGGCTGCAATCAACTAATTATTACATAGGGGATTTTCCAGATATGTATAATTCTTGTAGAGTCTTGCCAGAAAGTATATGGAAAATGCCAAAGGAACACCATGTTGAAAATTAATAAGGTTTATCATAGAAAACCAAACCAATCAAACCACCCTTTAGATTTTTGAGAGGACATTATTAATCTTTTTGTTTGCTGGACAGTTTTGAGATAGACATTTGCAACTGCACTCATCAAAATCAAATTAAATACACCCTTAACTTTATATATTGCTCAGATGCATGACAAAGAAAATAGGACATTAACCTTATAAGTATGTTACCAATAGTCAAAACGATTCAAACATTAAGAAAAGCTTGTCGACTTCGTGACCGAAAGTGAACTGCTTTTAAGAAATCAGATAATCAACATTCAACAAAGGCATTGGAATTAAATCATATGAAACCTTTAAGTTATAAAGTCGATCTCTGTGACCGGAAATCAGCATTTGCATACCCAAAAATAACTTTCTGGTAAATCGTAGGATTTGCAGTATTCCATGTTTAGTGTTAACTTGACGTCCTGTTCAATTTCATCAATGACATCGTTGAGTTGACGCAAATCGTCGAGGTTGCTTGAAACATTGTTAAATAAACTCATAAATACAGTCATGAATTTAAAGAAGGTATATGTACTTCCTTGGTGTTAGTGAAAACAAATATAGAATTATTAATTGATGACCAATGCGTATTAAATATTTTCTCCTTCAGGATTTTGTTTTTTAGCCCTAAGTGTTGTTTGACCGGTAGTTCATAGTGAAGACGTTGGTAAAATATTTTTATTTATAAAACGAAACTTTACGAATGTGTATGAACGGCTGAAAAACTAACAGTTAAGAATGCGTTGTGTCCAACCTTTTACTTATGTTTCGCAGAATGATGAAATCTTTGTCTCTATTAAACTTAACTTGTTGTCTTCGTCCAGCTCCTTTGATGATTCTACGGACTAGATAAATAAAATTATGTAAATGGTTTACATAATAAATTCATTTAAGGCAACAATAAAGCAGAGATGTATCGGAACCCAAGCCCATATTATAAAAAACAAAGGCAAAGGCACCCAGAAAACACAGACCTTCGCCAGGACTAATAATTAACTAATAATCAACCATTGAATAATGGATGAATCATGACCAAAATCTTGTCACTTTTAAGTTAGCCCATTTTTGACCAACCCTTAATATTTCATCGAAATCCGTCCATACATTTCAGCGTTAAGTTGCTAATAAGCTACCAAACTAATGGAACCAAAAACATAACCTCCTTGACAGAAGTCATAAGCACAATGTGTCAGCTGGAAAAGTGCCCCCTGCACGCTGTGCGTCCCATCAGGCAAAAAAAAAGGATCGCAAAATGAGCATTTTTATATTACTGAACATTGTTTACGCAGCATAAAGCAAAAGTTTTAGAATATACACGGACCAGCTTCATTATTATAAAATTTCCCATGCTTGCTTTCTTGTAGCGTTTCAACCACAGCGGCGTTTGGTTTGAATTGACCACCAAAACCACAAATGCTAGACGACCTAAATGTCCTCACCCGTTGCCTTTCTGAATCCGATGCAGTAAAGTTAAAACAACATACAGATATAAACATAGGATACATAGGGGCTGGAACACGTAGGTCGAAAAGCTAATGGTAGTGAATTTCATTAGCAAAGGATATACAAGCGATAGATACGTTTACTTACTTGGACCGTATTTTGCACCAGGCAAAAGTCGAGTGATGTATTGTCCTGATATCCCAGAACCATCAGTGTACTCAATAAGGGGCACTGAGGGAGATATGAATGAGAGTGAATCGCCCATTGTTAAAATATTCTTTTGCAATTTAATTTGGGTAAGTTAAAACCAACATTATATCTTGGACCTCTTATTAAGTCCATGATTACATATATCATCTTGTTGAATTATAGTCTTCTTTTTGGTCACTTACAATGCTCTATAATTCAAAGTGCTTTTTCACTGATCAACTAATCTTTGTCATGTAAGATTTCTTCATCTTGTGGTATTATTCAAATTTAATTTCACTACGCTTGATAAAACGTATTTTATATTCTCAAGCATTTTAATTGCCAAGTGTTTTAAAAAACACATCACCAATCAAATGATCAAATCTATAAATTTGCCCATTCATCAGTTGTCTTTCCTTCATGCATCGACAGAAAATCGATGTAATTTAACAAACAGACTATGAGCAACATGGGAAGTTTATTATAAAACTTCTTCCACTATTTCATGGGAAAACGCCTCGCATTGCAAACTCAAAGACTCCACATTTTGTGCAGTTAGTCAACCATTCTACTTGCCTAAGCCTTGTTCTTCTGACACTCTCAATACACCAGCATCTTGCAACTTTTTTCGAATGGCTTCGTGATCTCCCTTTCTCCTCGGCGGTGCCTCGGGTGCGTCTCTAGGCACCATGTTGTTCACCTGCTCTCCACTCTGATATGCAATTGTTATTGCAAACATCCCGAAAACCAAAATACCCACCATCCCCGATGACTGCATACTTCTATAAATCATTATTTTAATTTTTTAAATGGAAAAACTTAATTTTTTCCGAAATAATAGAAACATTTCAAATAGGATTATGTGAGTTTAAACAAAAAATCTCATATTCATTTTTCTTATATTGCCTGCTCTTCATGATAATTGCCATTTAATAATAATAATAACAATAATAATAATGGAAGCTCCACACTGATGAAATGGAGTTATTATTTAGGTCCGGTTGAATTTCAGAACTTACATGAAACTAAATCACAGTCTGATACAGAGAGTGGGAAGGAAAGGACACTCTAACCACAAGGCCATCCGGTAGATATTTTTCTCCTCTATGCTCGGTACCAAACAGTTAACAAGGACAATTTTAGTAGTATGTGGGGCACAACTTTTGAATAAAATTTCTCGTTTTACTGTTTTGGGGGAGAAAAAAAGGAGAAGGAGGAACTTAAGAAGTAAACATTTTGGCAGAGAATAGTGTCTTGGACAGCACTACATGTACAAGGGTTATATTAAATACATTCAATGAGGTATACCAGCCCGCTTGGCGCCAGGTGTCGTTAGTGTGAATTCAGTCCTTCCACAGTCACCATGTTGGATATCATATACGTTGGACTGTGGCATTGGCCTTAATAAATATGCCTCAGTATTGTTGTGTACCTGAATGTCAAAGTCGGCAAGGTGGGCATAATTTTCCTGAGGATTCAGGGCTTCGTTTGAAGTGAAGGCCCATGTCAACACACCTTCCATGTTAAAAGGACAGTTACAACTTGACCCAGGCACAGTAATTAGGCCCCTAAAGATAGACGAGTTGCCTCAAAAAGAATACACGTAAAAAGGTTAATTGATCTTGGAAAAACTTATAAAGTTTTGGAAAGAGAGCTCCATAGCAAGAAAGTGCCCCTAGGAAGTACGATTTATCAAAGTGCGTTTTCTTCTTATGTCCGTAATTTCAGAAGAGTTGTCAGTAAATATACATAAGTGCCGGTAGCCTTCTACCCGCATAAGGTTGTGTTATTAAGTAATATCCTTTTTTATTGATGTATTGAGCATGACCGGTAATGTTAATTAAATAATTATTTTA